AGGCCAGCATTATCCTAATTCCAAATCAGATTAAAGACACTACAAATGAAGAAAAGTATAGGCCAATATCCCTGATGAACATAAATGCCTAAATCCTTAACAAAATAATAGCAAACTGAATACAGCAATACATCAAAAGGACCATATACCATGATCAAGTCAGATTTATTCCAGGAATGCAAGTTTGGTACAATATCTGCACATCGATAAACCTGATACACTATAGAAATAAAAATATATGATCATATGCATAGATAAAAATGCTCAGCAAAGTGGAAATGGAGGGAACATACCACAATGTAACAAAGGCAATAGATGACAAACTCACAGCCAACATCATATTCAATGGACAAAAACTACAAGTGTTGCCCTTATGACTGGGAACAGAAGAGCAATGTCTGTTTTTAAAACTCTTATTTGACATAGTACTGGAAATTCTAGCCACAGTAATCAAACAATATGAAATAAAAAAATATCCAACTCAGAAAGACAGAAAAGTAAAACTCATTATATGCAGGTGACATAATACTATATAGAGAAAACTTGAAAGATTTCACACACACAAAAAAAAACCTACTAGAACTGATCAATGAATTCAGTAAAGTAGTAGGATATAAAATTCATATCCAGAAAACCAGCTGCATTTTTATATGCCAATAATGAGCTCTCAGAAAGGGAAATTAAGAAAACAATCCCATTTATAATTGCTTCAAAAATAAAACACCTACGAATAAATTTAACCAAGAACGGAAAACACCTGTATTCAGAAAATAAAAAGACACTATAGAAAATTCAAGAAGATACAAATAAATGGAAGCACATACTGTCTCCATGGCTTGGAAGAATTAAAATAATGAAAATGTCCATTCTACCCAAAGTGATCTACAGATTCAGTGTAATTCCTATCAAGATACCAATGGTGTATTTCACAGAACTAGAATATTCCAAAATTTAGATGGAACCATAAAACACCTCAAATAGTAACAGCAATCTTGAGAATAAGAACAAAATTGGAGGAATCATGCTACCTTACATCAAACTGTCATACAGGGCCAAACAAAACAGCATGGTACTGGCATACAGATCAGTGGAATAGAATAGAGACCCCAGAAGTAAACACACACCTTTATAGTCGATTAATATTTGAGAAAGGAGGCCAAAATATACAACAGGATAGTTTATTTAATAAATAGTGTTGGGAAAACTAAACAGATACCCACAAAAAAGGAAGGAAGGAAGGAAGGAAGGAAGGAAGGAAGGAAGGAAGGAAGGGAGGGAGGGAGGGAGGGAGGGAGGGAGGGAGGGAGGGAGGGAGGGAGGGAGGGAGGAAAAGGAAGGAGAAAGGAAGGAACTAGACCACTTTCTCACACAACACAGAAGAAAAAACTCAAAATGGATTAAAGACTTAAGTGTTAGACTTGAAAGCAAAAATGTCCTAGAAATAAAACAAAGGCAGTAGAATCTAAAAAATTTTTAGTAGCAACATTTTTTCTGATATATCTCCTCAGGCAAGGAAATAAAAAGAAAAAAAAAAAAAGAAATGAGACTGACCAAAAAGTTTGCACAGAAAAGACAACCATCAACAAAATGAAAAAAACAACCCACTGAATGGGAAAACACATTTGCTGATACATCTAGTAAGGGATTAATATCCAAAATGTATAAACAGCTTTTAAAAGTACACACACACACACACACACACACACACACACACACACACACACAGAGCCAGCTTTTTAAAAAATGGGCAAAGGACCTGGACAGACACTCCTCCAGAGAGGACATACTGATGGCCAAGGGATATATGAAGATATCAACATCACTAATCATCAGAGAAATGCACATTAAATCCACAATATCACCTCACACCTGTGAGAATGGCTATTATCGATAAATCAAGAAGCAAGCACTGGCAAGAATGTGGAGAAAGGGGAGCCCTTCTGCACTGCTGGTGGGAATGCAGATCATTGCAGCCGTTGTGGAAAGCAGTAAGAACTACCTCAAAATTAAAAATAGAACTTACTGATTCCATTTATGGGAATTTATCCGAAGAAACCCCAAACACTAATTTGAATGAATATATACTCCCCTATTTTCACTGTAGCATTATGTACAATAGCCAAGATTTGGAAGCAGCCCAAGTCCACCATTAGATGTGCAAGTAAAAACAGCTATGGTACATTTAAACAATGGAATACTACTCTGCTATAAAAAAAGAAAATTTTACTCTGTGAAAACACAGATGGTCTTGGAGAATATTCTGTTAAGTAAAATAAGCCAGTCAGTGATTTCACTCATATGGAATTTAATGAACTGAACAAGCAAAACAGAGACAGACATAAAGTGGACAATGACAGTTTTGGCAGGCTTGGGAGGTAGAAGGATCAAGCCGAAAAGAGAGAACTCATGGACAGAAACTGTGGTGACTGTGGGGAAAGGGATGGTATGGAGGTGAAAGAGGGTATGGGGGGAATAAATGGTAATGGAAAATATAATTTTAAATAAATCAATAATTCACTTCAATGACTATTTCATATCTTTCATTTAAAACTCCAATCCTCTCAACCCCTACAAATTACACCTTTATAAATTCACCTTCATGAATATCTTTGCTTAATACTTCATGAAAGCACTGAAGGAATCAAGAGACCACTTTCCAAGATTTCTTCCAGTTCATGTACCCATTTCTCAGCATCTGCACCACATTTGTTATCCTATTATTAGAAATTACTTTTCCATATCATCTAAAGCTAATACTTCATCTGTTAAATCTTACCTGCAAGAGGTCATTGCTCCGGTGATTCTTCCTTCTGTGTCTGGAATAATTTCCCTGTCCTACTGGATTATTCCCATCAGCATACAGAATCGCTATTCTCCAATCCTTACACTATACTTCTATCCCTATTGCTCCAAATTACTAACATCTCTCTCCCTTTAGCAGCAAAATGCCTCTAAGAAGTTGTCTCTATACTCACAGTTACTAGTTTTCATTCTCTTATCTAGCTTTTACTCCAAAACAAAGAAAAATGTCCATGCTTTTCTTAAGGTCAACAATAACATCCATATTGCTAAACCCAATAGCCATTTCAAAAGCCTATTAGAGAATCTGCAAATGGTATCTGATGCCATTGATCATCCTTCCTTTGCCTCACTTTCATTTGGCTTCTGTGACACCACTGTTGGGTTTTCTTCCATTTCACTAATTCTCCCTTGCTGTTTATCATCCTTGAACTCTTAAGGGGGTTGGGGTCAGTCCTTTCTCTCTCTACACTGAGGTCCTTAATGATCATATTCTGCCCCATGATTTTAAATATGTATAGGTAGTAACTACCAAATTAATATAATCTCTATAATAAATAGTACAGTGGAACCTTAGTTCTCAAGTTTGTTTCAGAATGCAGTTTGAGAAGCAATTTTTAAAAAAACAATCATTTTCCCACAGGTATCAGCATGAAAGGGTTGTTTGGTCAAGAACCAAAGTTCTGTTCAACAGCTGACGTTTTTTCCCACAACTTTGTTGAGAACCAAACGGTTCAAGATGAGAGACATTCAAGAACCAAGGTTTGACTGTACAAGCTAGATCATCCAAGTACTTATTCAATATTGTGATTTTGTGTCTAGAAGACATGTCAAGCCCAGGACGTGCAGAATTGAACTTCCAATCTTCCCTACAAACCTGATGGAACTGCAGCTTTCCTCACCTCAGCTGATGAGAGCAACATCTTTCCAGTTACTTGGTACCTAAACTTTTGGGTCAAACTCACTCTGGGCATTTTTCTCACACCTGACATCTACCGCCTACACAAATACTGCTTGCTCCATCATAGCTACCATGTACCTGTAGATTCCAACCACTTCTCACCATTGTTACCACTCTGGTCTGAGCCACTACCATCATTTATCTGAATTAATGCCATAGCCTCCTGCTCATTGCCACTTAGGTTTTATTTGTTTTTAAACACAATAACATGTCAGATCATGTCCTCTACTCAACACTCTCCAACAGCTGCACATTTACTTCAGTGAAATACAAAATGCTTACAGTAACTTACAGGATGTGGTCATTATTTCTTTGACCTCCTTTATCAACCACCCATAGCATATACAATATCTTCAGTGATGTTGCTCAAATACACTACCGTTGTCTCATTATAGGGCCTTTTCTCTGCCTGGAATGCTCTTCCCTTAGATAACTACTGATTTATTCCTTCACCCCTTCAAATCCTGACTCAGATCTTTCCTTCTCCATGGTTTACCCTGATCATTCTATTTCATATAGCAGCCTAAAATGTCACATCTCCCTCAACTTTTGAATTTTCCCCCATAACATGTTCTAACATACTCTACAATGTATTATTCTATCACCTCTTGCTGGAATTGCTCATTGATAAATCCCAAACACCTAAGACAGAGCCTGAAATACAGCAAACATGTAATAATAAGAACAGTAGGTTTGGGGGAAGCTTTTTTTTTTTTTTTTTTTTGCTAATAGACTCACTGCCTTTGCAATGATGGCCAATGGTCTCACTTCTTGTTTAGGGTGCCACTTTAAATCATTGTTAAGTGGCTTTGCTTAAAGACAACTAGTTTGGCTTTTGAATACAACAAGGATCAAGGTTCTGAAATTTACCATCAACCTGGATTGAGCACATGCATCTCTTAACAAAACAATATTGTTTTAAATCTGTTAGCAGTCCTTGTAGTTAACCCTACTTTGAGTTTTTTACAAAACATTACTGAATGAAACAAGAAGCATTCTGAAACACTCCCATCACTTCTTCTAACGTAACAGTCTTGATTGACAGAAGATATGCTTTGTGAGAGAGTAGGAGTCTGGCCAAATGTCTGTGTATAAAAACTATCTTCAGTTTCCTAGTCTGAGATAGGTCGATTCTTTCTCCATAGCCCTAAGGCAATGCCACATTTGAGATTTCTTTGCCCAAAGCACTCCACATCCAGTTACAAAATTTTATATCCTTAATAAGAAAATGACAACTGCATCAACAAATAAGTTTATTTTCATTTTTATATAAAGAAATACAGGAAGCAAGAAGACCAGAGTTGTTATGGCTGTTCCATTAAACTGGCAGAGGTGTATATTTGTTCTGTGCTTCTGCTCCACCATCCTTAATACCATTCTCGAAATTCCCACAAAACTGCCAGAGCTGCAGATTAAATGTCTACATTGTAAACAAAGGAGTAAAAATAGACAGGAAAAACAAAGATTTCTTAAATGTCATACTCATACAATTACCACTTCCACTTTGTTGATTTGCAAGGGAATCTGACACAGGTTTTCAACCAAGAATTCTGTTAGTAAAGAAGGAAAATAGATATTGGACAGAAAAACAGCAGTCTCTGACACAGAGTCATTTCTTCATTGCGGAAATAGTCTGTAATGTCAGTTTTCATTTTTAGTTTAATCAAAAGCTGTAAATCTAAGTTTTAAAAAAGTTCCAAGTAGAAAGATTTATTTTGGTTATCCTTTTTTTTCCTTTCTAAATAATATTCTTAAATTGTGGTCAGGAACAGTAGAAATTATGAGTTTTGGGACTTTGTTACCATTCACTTAACACCTCTTCAACTATCCACTGGTTGAATCTACAGTGCTTTTTTGTATAGTATGAATTTCCTTTTATAGTATACTGGATGAAATCTGAATGAAAGCTTTCTCACATTTATTATAGCATATAGTGCCCCCACTCAAATAACTGAGGTTAAGTGTTAAATGAAAGATTTCTCAATATTCATTATAAGTCTCCTCTCATGCGAATTATCTAATACTATAATGACAGCTAATATTTGTGATATGCTATGTTTAAGGCACTGTTCTAAAAGCTTTACATGTAATAACTCACACAATACTTTCAAGAATCTGGTAAGGAAGTATATTTTCTTACAAATGATTAAACAAAAGTGGAGGTTAATTATCAATGTCATGAAGGGAAGCAACTGATAGTCAAGATGTGCTATGGCTAAAGTCCCTCCTATATTTACTATACTAACAAATTACTGTCTATTAAAATTTGAAGTTTAATTGGTTTTCAGTAATGTTAGATTTTTCTACACGGATTACATTATCATTATCTTTCCCTACATAAATTCAGTGATGCTGAGCTTTATGAAGCAAGTCCCCCATATTCAAATTTTAAGAATTCTTTAATGATAATGGATTAATGACCACAGAAGTCTGCCTGTATTAATCCCAAAGAGTCAAAAAACTCATATATAAACTTGTGAACCATGAGTAAAGTCTATCCCACTTTCCTTATATTTAAAAGATTTCTCACTGATATGAATTCTCTGATGTTGAGTTAGTTGTGAGCCACGAGTAAAGGCCTTCCCACATTCCTTACACTGATATGGTTTCTCACCAGTGTGAATTCTCTGATGTCGAGAAAGGTGTGAGCTCTGAGTGAAGGCTTTTCTACATTCTTTGCATTCATAGGGCTTCTCACCAGTATGGATTCTTTGATGTAAAGTAAGTTGAGAACCATGACTAAAAGCCTTCCCACATTCCTTGCATTCATAGGGTTTTTCTCCAGTGTGAATTCGCTGATGTTGCGTAAGCTGTGAACCACGGATAAAGGCCTTCCCACATTCCTTACACTGATAAGGTTTCTCACCTGTATGAATCCTCTGATGCTGTATAAGCAGTAAGCCACGAGCAAAGGCCTTCCCACATTCATTGCATACATAGGGCTTCTCACCTGTATGAAGTCTTTGATGTTGAGAAAGATGTGAACTCTGAGTAAAGGCCATTCTACATTCTTTACATTCATAAGGTTTCTCACCAGTGTGAATTCTGTGATGTTGAGTAAGCTGGGAGCCACGAATAAAGGACTTTCCACATTCCTTACATTCATAGGGTTTCTCACCAGTGTGAATTCTCTCATGTTGAGTAAGTTCTGAGCCACGACTAAAGGTCTTTCCACATTCTTTACATTCGTAGGGTTTTTCACCAGTATGAATCCTCTGATGCCGGGTAAGGAGTGAGCCTCTATTGAAGGCTTTTCCGCATTCCTTACATTGATAGGGTTTTTCACCAGTATGAATTCTCTGATGTTGTGTAAGTTGTGAACCATGACTAAAGGTCTTTCCACATTCCTTACATTCATAGGGCTTCTCATTGGTATGAATTCTCTGGTGTTGAGTAAGTTGTGAACCACGGATAAAGGCCTTCCCACACTGTTCACATTTGTAGGGTTTTTCACCAGTATGAATCCTCTGATGTTGCATTAGTAATGAGCCACGAATAAAGGCCTTCCCACATTCTTTACATTCATATGGCTTTTCCCCATTATGAATTTTCTGATGTTGAGAAAGCTGTGAGCCACAAATAAAAGCTTTCCCACATTCCTTACATTGATAGGGTTTTTCACCAGTATGAATTCTCTTATGCAGAATAAGCTGTGAAAGCTGAGTAAAGACCTTCCTACATTCTTTACATTCATAGAGTTTTTCGCCAGTATGAAGTCTCTGGTGTAGAGTAAGTTGTGAGTTCTGAGTAAAGGCCTTCCCACATTCTTTACATTCATAAGGTTTCTCACCAGTATGGACTTTTTGATGTCGAGTTAGTTGTGAACTACGAATAAAGGCTTTCCCACATTGTTCACACTTATACGGTTTTTCGCCAGTATGAATTCTATAATGTAAAATAAGTTGTGAACTCTGAGTAAAGGCCTTCCCACATTCCTTGCATGCATAGGGTTTCTCGCCAGTATGAAGTCTCTGATGAAGACTGAGCTGTGAATCACGACTAAAGGCCTTCCCACACTGCTTACATTCATAGGGTTTTTCACCTGTATGAGTACTCTGATGTTGAGTTAAGTGGGAAGCTCGTCTAAAGGCCTTCCCACATTCCTTACATTTATAGGGTTTCTCAAAATGACATGTGGGATATTGAGATAAGTAAGTATGCTGATTGAAAATGGACATTTTTTCATATATGATCATTACTTGACTGAAATATTTCTTTTGATTTTCCAATGTGCCTCTGAATTTCAAATAATCTCTAGAACTGGACTCCTTAAGATCATAGTTTTCAAGCCTGTTACTCATTTCCCATTGGGATAATTCCGTTTCATAAGTGTCCTTTCTTGGAGATAAGAATTTACTTGCACACCTTGAAGGCAAATCTGAAAGATAAAAAACAATAAAAAATGTTGGTTGTCATTTCAGAAGTAGAACTTCAATAGTGAAAAGGACTACATAGGAAAAATACATATAGTGAAATAGCCATGAAAAATATATGGCCTACATTATGTATAAAATATTGCTTACTATGATCTATAGTAATACTAGTTACTTTTCACATCACAGTCTGCAACATTTATAGTTTCATAAAGCAATACCTACCCTGCTTTCTATTCTAGTTTTCTCTCTCTCCAACATACACATGCATAATCAAAATTCACTAATTTCATGTTGCAGTAATATGTTGCTACCAGGAATTTGAAAAGAACACTAGCTAAGAATGACCTCATGTATTAACATGTAAAAAAGAGATGAGATAATAAGAGATGTAATAAGAGATGAGAGAATAACAAAAAATCTACTGAGAAGATAAGGAGAGAGATTAAGAAATCTTTTTTTAAGTCAGTGGGTCTCAAACTTTGGTGGGAATCAAAATCACCTGGGACGTGTGTTAAAACCAAAGACACCCAGATAACACACCAGACTAACTGGATCTGAATCTAGTGAGTCAGAAAAAGATCATGAAAATCTTTAGTTTTAATACAGTCTGCCAACTGATTCTGATTCAGATTCAGATTATGATTTGCTATCTCTGACTAGAATCTTTAAATGACTTTCAAATTAAATTTAGAATAAAATCCAAATGGTTTTTATGACTTTAATAAAGCCCTTCAAAGCCCTTCACAGTCTGGTCACTACTTACGTATCTGATTTCCCCATGAATCTTTTCTCCTTTGCCATTTTCCAAACATACTTGATTTCTTTTGGCTCCAAAAAAGTCACACATCCAATCTGAACTTACAACTAGTTAGAGCTGGTTCCACATCTTTTTTTTTTAATTTATTTATCTTTAGAGGGGAAGGGAGGGAGAGAGGGAGAGAAACATCAATGTACAGTTGCCTTTCGTGCATCCCCTGCTGGGAACTGGCCTGCAGGGAACCGGCCTGCAACCCCTGTATGTGCCCTGACTGGGAATCGAACCGAGATTATCTGGTTCACAGGCCTGTGCTCAATCCACTGAGCTACACCAGCCAGGGCTGGTTCCACATCTTTGAACTGCTCTGTATGAGATACTCTACACAAAATTACTCTCATCCTTCAGGTTTCAATTTAAATATAAGTTCCTGAATCTTACACACCCATTTCTGGTAACAGAAGGCTAAGTAATTTAGACTAACCTTCCGGATGAGAGTAATTACACAAATTGGACAAACTATAAAAGGCACTTGACTGAAAGCATTAAAAAGTTAATATTGAAATAAAGAATTAATAGGCTACAAGTTGAAAAATATGAAAACTCAGAGAAAAAAAAAACTAAATGTTTGGTGGCTACTTGTCCCCTGAGGGAAGTCTTACAATCTGGAAAAGGCAATTAAGAAGTGGAGAAACTAGGTAGTGTTTTAAACCATTTATTTCATAGAGCTTGGGCAACAATAACTGTAGCATGGGGCCCAACATTAATTCTCCATACATTGGAATGGGAACTCTCAGGGCTACCATGAAAAACAAGGGAAAAACGGTAGACCACTCTGGACAGAGTCTGAAGTTAAATCATATTTGAATGATCTCAAACCCAGAAAACTGGATTAAAATAATTCAAAATTGCTTGCCATAAACAAACCTAAATCTTCACTGAGATGTATGAAATCATCCAAGTCTTCTAAATAATTATGTAATTTTTATTTATACTGTATAGCACTCAACAAATAACTATGTGAAGGTATAAAAATAATTAAAAACAAGAGAAAACATATAAAAGAAACAGCCCTATAAGGGCTGAAGTCATGTACCTACCACCACAGTAATGATACCCAACAGTCTATTACTCCTACATATTCTTGTGTTGTCCTTTGCAGTAAACCTCTCCTCACCCTCACAGTAAATTAATTAGAAACTGTTCATCTGTGGTTTCCTCGATACCTCCTGACAAAGGGAAATAAAAGTACATCCATAGTAAATCTAAAGTAAAAATAAAAAAAAAAAGAGTATAATACCTCATCAATTACTTTCCCTCTTGCATAATGCTTCTTAGATACTAGCCTTGGTTATCTTCTTTAGTTTTCCCTATTCTTTTCAACCAAGATAGCAAGTTGCTTTCATTTATTTATCATTACTTCACAGTCTCTTTTGTTTCTTTACACTCTGTCTCATATCTTCTCCTATTTACTTTCTTATCAAAGGCCAATTTATTTGTTCATCCAAGAAGAATATCTTTATAATTTCTGAGGCACTGAAACAGGTCAAAGACATAAAGAAAATTTCTGTAATCTTATATAATGTTTGGGAGGAAGGAGAAAACAAAAACAGGAATTATTGACTTGTAATAGAAGGAGTCTGGAGAAATAAAGTTCAAGAAATTTTATGTTAAAAAAAGATGTTGGGTGGAAATATTTTTTAAAAAAGAACAAAAAGTCTCATACACGGCTATTGGGAATGAAAAACTGTACTCATGATGAAACAGTTTGGTAGGGTTTTTTTTATAAAGTTAACCACACACTTCATATACAATCTAGCAGTCAAAATCAGAGATATTTATACTCATGTCCAAACATTTATACAACAAAGATTACAGCAGCTTTATTCATAATTGTCCAGAAATAAAAACCCAGATGTTACTCAAAAGGCGAATGAATCAATAAACTTTGGTATTTCCATACAATGGGCCATCATTCAGCAATAAACAGAAACAAAGTATTGATTCATACAACAATATGGATAATTCTTAAATATATTTTATTAAATGAAAAATACCAGACCCCAAGAATATATATTTTGACTCCACTTACATGACATTCTGAAAAAGACAAAACAATAGGGATAGAAAATATCTCAATTTTTCATAGGCTGGTGAGGGGGGAGGAGTTGACAACAAAAGGACAGCAGTGAAGGGATTTAGAGTGCGATGGAACTGTTGTATATTATGACTGTGACAGTGGATACACTTTAGATGTAGATAGTGCATCAGATTTCCTGAAGAACACCAATAAATGTTGAATAAAACATGACAAACAACATTCTAAAATATGCAAAGCTTAAAAGAAAGTAGATTCACAATGAAATGAGAATCAAAAACTAAAATGGTAAACACGCTTTAAAACAATAAAATGGCAAAAAATACATATGTATCAACAAACTAATCTAAATCTAAAGAACAAACTAAGCAAACAAGAAGAACACAGACAGAATCATGGATACAGAGAGCGTTTTGATGGCTGCCAGGTTGGAGGGAGGTGTGGGGGAATGGGTGAAGAGGTAAGGGGATTAAGAAGTACAAAGAAGTAGTCACAAAATAGCCATGGGAACATAAAGTACAGTATACAAAATGAAGTAGCCAAAGAACTTATACACATGACCACTGGACATGAACAATGGTGGGGGGATTGCCTGAGGGAGTGGGGAGTGCAGGGTAAAGGAGGAAAAAATTAGGACAACTGTAGTAACATAATCAATAAAATATAATTTAAAAAAGAAAAAAATAAAACCATAGCTAACCTCAGAACATTTACAGTCTTTAATTGCTTACCTTAAATGATCTAAAAATGTGAAATAAGCCAGTCAGAGAAAGGCAATACAGTATGATTCACTTATATGTGAAATCTCATGAACAAACTGAAATAACAAGCAAAACAGAGACACACTCATAGATATAGAGAGCAGGATGAGAACTATTGGGGCAGGGTTAGGGGGTGAAGAAATTGAGCAAGAAGGAAAAAAGGACTCATGAGCATATACAACAGTGTGGTGATTCCAGGGGGATGGGGGTATAAAGGGGTTAAATGGTGATGGAAAAAGTACAATAACTTTTTTTTAATCCAAGAGACAAGTCTTTGAACCAACAATAGGTCAGGGATTAAGAAAAAAACTTCACAAAATTGGGCCTAGAGTTTATATGAATGAAAAAAAAAATCCTCTGGTCTCAAAGATAAATGACAAGAGAAATCTTAGTTTTGGCCATTTAAAAAAATGACTTTTACTCTGAGATGAGAAGCCATTAGAGGGTTATAAAAAGCAGCATGACAAGATTCGATTTCTGTTTAAAAAGGAATCATTCCGATTTTCATTAAAATTAAAAGATAACAGATAATGGGAAAGTACAAAAGCTGGGTAGATAGAAGTTACGAGGCTACACAAATAATCCACATGGCTCAGAAAAGATGATTATGGAGAAAGAGGTGGAGAAAGTCAGATGTGAGATATCATTGGATTGAACATGTAATATGACAAAGAGAAGTCGAGGAAATCAAGTGTTTTACCTGAACACCTAGAGCAATGAATATGCTGCTTACAGAGAGGCGGATTCAGGGGAGAGTATCAAGAGTTTGATTTTGAATAATTTGACATAAAAAAGCTATTGAGTAGACAGGTGTATGTACAAATACAGAGTTCTGAAAAAATATTTGGATTAGATAAATTTGGAAGTCAGCAACATATAGATGACATTTAAAACTATGGGATTTGATGAGGTTGAGGGAGTCTTTGGATACAGACAAGAAAAGAAAAGGAAAGCTTGAGGATCGAGCCCTGAGGCACTTCAAAATTTAGAGGTCACATAGATGAGAAGAAACTGCAAAGGAGACAAAGAAGAACCAGCCAATGGGGAAAGAGAAAAATTAGAAAAGTGTGGAATCTCAGAAGCCAAGTGAAATATTTTGGTTGTAAGGAATGATCAATTATGTCAAATAGTAGAAGAGAAAGTAAAATGGTGATTTCTAATTTAACAAAGGTTATTAATGATCTTCATAAAATAATTTTTGTGGAGTAATGGGGCAATTTATGATTAAAGCAGACTTAAGAGAGCATGGAGAAAGACTTGAATGTAGGGAGCATGATAAATGCTTTTTGAAAGGTTTTGTTGTAAAAAGTAGCAAAGAAGATGGATAGCAGCATCATGGCTGAGTGAGGAGACTCCTTTGTTACTCCCCTTAAATTTACAAATCAGACG